AGCCCGTTGGAGTCACGTACGCGACCTGCTGTCTGTCGATCCGTTCTTATCTGGTTAGAAGTATCGCCAGGCATTTCGGCGCAATTATCTGTTTATTAGTATTGGGTTGTCCGGATAAGTAACAAACGCAATGTTCTTATCTGGTTAGAAGTATCGCCAGGCATTTCGGCGCAATTATCTGTTTATTAGTATTGGGTTGTCCGGATAAGTAACAAACGCAATGTAGACAGCTGTGTCTGTTGAAACTTTGGCAACGAAACGCAAGGTATATTAAAAAAAATTTAATACATTTCCGCCTTGAAGAGGTTAAGTTGTAGTGTAGATATAACTTATCACTTTTATAACTTCAGATTTTAATGGACTCTGAGGTTAAAACAGTAATTTCGACGAAATTGCAATCTCTATACCACTTACCATAAAATCGATAGCGAACATCACAGGTTACACGGTGTATCGAAAACTTTAATGTTGCGTTTAAACGTTGGAAAAAGTGTTTTATACATTGATAAAACGGCCGATAATAGGCAAAATGAAAATAATTCCACCGTGAAACGATATACCCAGTAGCGCCCCGCTTTTAGTTTCATCTGATTGTAGCATAAATATAGATTAAACAAAGTACTAAAAATAAAACACCAATTTTAGGCAATTAAAAAACTAATTTTTAACTATTAAAGAATAGAGCATTTTTGTACATATTTTAAATAGATTTTAACACTATATTGCTATATCTTTATATAGTTAATATTTATATCCGATATCGTTATGTATATATCGTGTTGTTAAAGCAATAATGTTTGGGAATAGTTAAATTGTATATATCGTGAGATGTGGAAATTTTGCACATAAAGCTGACGATTGACTGTTTGGATCATCTTATATTTGTATGATTTAAGATCATTCGAATAGCCAGGTGTTCAAGCAATTTCACATCATAATAGAAGTAGGCAGTATCAGATTTCTCATAAGAAACAAGTGACATCAGAATTTCAACGGTCAATTACGAGGCAGATATCAATTACATTCTAAGTGTTAGGTAGCAATGAGCCGTGCATACTGAATGGCATGCCTCATGAACTCATGATCCACACAAACAGATAAGATGGCATGAATGACTATGTAACTAAAGATGTTCGCCTGCAACTTTAAAAACGATTGATACCGTGCCAAATAAAATAGGAGGAGAATAAAATTTTCATTGCGATAGCGGTGATTCATGAACCATTGAAATTTCATAGATACAAAAAAAATATAGATCTAAGTGAAATTTACGTCGGTGATAAAATTGTTTTGATCCTAAAAATGAATCGTGCATAAATTGCGTTAGCCGATAAGGGCACATTACAGATAGCAGTGATAACGTATCGTGTGACAATTTATGAATTTTTAGCAAAAAAAAAATCTACGACTAATCGTATTCGAGAATTCCACTCACCTTAGCAGGGGAGATATTGGCGTGCATCCAACTGCAGATGCGGACGCTTTGGCAGTCGCCGAAATTTGTTTCAGAACACTAGCACGCGCGTAGGATATGTCAAATTCCGGGGACACACAGTAAGTACTCAAGCACGGCACAGACAACACTATGCACAATGAGTTCAGATAGCGACGGCTGTTAACACAGAACAATATTATAACCAACAGTGGTCTTTCACATCACGTCAAATATTTGCCTTGTTACAGGTGCATGGGCGTATTGGACGCAGTGTGTTATGCCGGACACATGTACGCTCTCGGCGGTAAACCGCGAGTAATAGTCGATAAAACGCGTGAGGGACCGATACGTATCCCCTCTCTCACGACCGCTGCACGCTGGCGGCGCAGCGAGACTGACGGACTGCCTCAGCGTTAACAGAGGCATCATCCCAATTCTCAACCCTTCGGCCTCCAGCCACGCACGATGGCCTTTTTTCCCCGTATGCAAAAAAACAAGGACGCAAACTGCATCTGCGATGAGAGCACTGTACGCTTAAGTCGAGCAACCTAGCCGCTTTTTACTTAACGGCAGGTAATTATTCACCTCTTTTGCTGATACTAATGATTAAATAGCATTTGCCGTGGACTTGTACAATGCTCTTGTCTCGTGTGTGCCAGTGGATGCGCCGAGTTTAAGTTCTATATAAGGTAAGAAATGTGGCTACGTATAATGTTATAAAAACAGTTAAATTATGTTTAATATATGTTAAAAGACAGGTTCTAATTTGAAAAATGCAATGGATGCAGTTAAGTATTGACATTAATTTAATAATTTTGACTGAACATAATTTTTTGGGCATGTAATGGCGTCGTAAGAAAATACCGAGTACCTACACTACTCCATATCATCCTGTGGGTGTCGATAGAAGCGACATAGGGAAGTGAAACAGGGCGCAGAAGTAACTTCTTAAAAATAACTCAAAATAAAAAATTAAAACGGTAGTTGCCAACCTGACCCCCGAGCTGGTGTGAACTATGGTAAATATTCCCACTATAAAGCGATCTAAGGGGAATAATGCCTATTTCCAACAGTGCACTTTCTTTAAAAACGCTGTTACGAATGGTGAAGGAATGTAATTATTTGTATAATTTTTTTTTGGATAGCAATTATTTCATTTTACCAAAGGTTAAAAAGCTAATTTCGGAAAAATTAAGCAGGAGATTTTATTTGAAATATTATTTCGATACAAAAGCGATTTACTCATTCTCAGTGGCAAATATTATTTAATACTTCTTCCTTTTTATCAACCTTTTTAAGTTCATAAAGACATTTTGAAGAATCCATACCAGCATTTCTTGAAGGATTTGAACAAACCTAGTTCTTTTATAAATGTAGACGTTTATAGGCCCCAGCAACCACTTCCCATCAAGTGGACTGTGTGCTCGTTTGACACCCTTATTCTATATAAATAACTCGCTCCTCCGGATTATAATAACTTGCTTTTTCCCATTTCAATATGCAAATTACACGTGATATGAAATTCTATATAATACTTAATTTATCTACAATATTAAAAACTATGATAATAAAAAAAACTAAAACTAGTAACTTAATAATTATCATATAGTCCTACTCCCCGCGGTATCGTGCCAAGAACGCTGGCTGCGTTTCCCCGCTGAATGGCTATACTTAGCCTTTGATGGTATGAAATGTATGGATATGAAATTAAAAAAAAAAACAATAAATGTAATGCCTTATTAAAAATAAAATAAAATCACTTTAATCGCAATTGCATTACAATAAATTTCAAAGTATTTATTCTTATAAATGTTTTGAAATTTAATGTATATATATCTAATATCTATTATATATTGTGTATGTATTTACATATATCGATGCGTCCATGCAGATCTTACTGCAGTACATACTAGTTTGCTGTACACAATAAACCTAGATACCGAATTGTCCATTGAGGTGCGAAACTATGCCACATCCAGCGGCTAATGGGCGGGTAATGACGGACGGTGCCGGCGTCACTGTCACGTAGCAGCAACGGTACCGATGCGACGCAGTGCGGTGTGCACGGACTATTTGAATAATCAAGACGATAGAGTTCGCCTTGCGCTTGGTTTCGGGGACAGACGACTGTTCCAGAGATAGCGTTCTTAGCTATTATCTAATAGTGAGTGTGTGCTAATGATAGCAAGTCTTACAGTAATCAATATTGTTTTAGATTCACCGATGATTTTATTTATATAGTTAATTAATACAATCACAATTACTTGTTCACATAGTTTTTCTAGTTAGTTAATATGTGTTAAAAAACTGACGCATTTATTTTACGTGCCGAATATTTTACAATAAACTTTAATGAAAGCAAAATCAATCAAGTTATAAAACAAACAATATCAAGTGAATTCATTTCCTATGTAAATAGACATTGGTTCCACATAGTTCCACAAAGCGACAATAAACGCAATTTTAAATTGTAAGTTCACTGATCGTTTAAATGTACGATTCTATTCACTTTACCGACGTTTGAGAATGGTTTATTTAGTTTCTACGTAAATTGTAGTTGTACGAAACAATAATATCGTATTACGAATAAATAATATAAATAAAAATATATTTATGTTGGTTATTTTAGAATATTGTACATTGGTTAAGGTTAAAATAAAAAGATCTTGTCTTAAAAAATATTTTGTCCATGCTCTACCGGAACAGTTTAACTTAAAACAAGTTTTATTTCTTTATATTATACTATCGCAATTTTTTTTGTGAAACTCACGCTAGGGCGCGTTTACAAAAGATAATAAACAATTAAATTTGGAGTCTAAAAGCAAAAAATTTACATGAAATATGTACATAATAAGCAAGAAATCTCTTTATTTAATTAAACGGAATTGATGGCTACATGCCTAGTAAATTACGCCCTAAATATATGGAAAAGGAAATAAAGCATTGTTAACAAAATCAAATAAATGAATAAATAAAATTTAAATAAAATTATTACATTTATAAAGAACAACTTGGCAGCGCAGTAACGTTTGTCTGCAGTGGTACGTGCCGCACGTAACAACTATTTATATGACCTACTAATAATTTTTCGAGCCTGGGAAGTAAAGCAGCACCATAATGCTGCAACTTTTTATACAAGAAGGGTGATAAGTGAGCACATAATCCACCTAATTTTAAGTGGATACTGTGACCCATAAACATTTTCATCTATTCTCGAATAAAAATATAATTGTAGATGTATTGTCACCACTGAGGGGTAAAATAGAATGCCTGTTTCAAGTAACAAGGACCTCATAGCATTCAACCGCATTAAACTGCTATATTAAGTTAGTTTTCTGTGAGAAGGTACCTAGTTCTTTCCTGGTCAAGCCAACCCAATCTACCGCGATTGGGTTAGCTCGACCGGGAAAGGACTCAATCGTGGTACAATCATAATATAATGCCGAGTGGCACTACCACGTAGAAAAACAGTGTTTCGTATGGTAAGTGACGAAAACATGATACCCTTTTTACTGGTTTTATATATTTTTTTTATATTTTGCCCTTACAAAATAATGCTTCTTATTCAGAAGTTCTTTGTTAATATTCCATCTTTTTTAGTTAATCGGACTATATAGTCATCTGATTCCCCCATTCTTCTAATAGCTCCATAGATTACATACATCTTGGAGGTATCTGCAGCACGTCCAGTAGCTGGGTCTACATCAGCAATGACCAGTTGTACAGAGGCATGGTCCTTAGCATGAATAAGACGGTTACTGCCCGAGCATTTTCTCGGACAGTACAAGTCAACAAATTCACCAGCGTCGTTTTGCATCTTGTATACCTAAATAACCACACCAATCACGAATATGACAGAAACGAAATGTAACTAGGCATTCAATCTTAGTTCTTAAGGGTAACAAACCATCAACGTTTTGATTTGTAGTCAATGATCAATCATAGGTCTCAGTCAGAGCATACGTTTTCCAGCGTGTGGACTGAGTGCTCATTTGCCTTACTTTTGCAAAAGCGAATGCTTATGTGAAATTTTTATTAATGTCCGTAAAATGGCTCTAGAATGCAGGAGAAATTCCTTATATGAATGCAACGTTTTTTTTAAACAATGAACGAACCAATGATCTGAGCACATCATATTCTCACTTCTGAAAGGGCAATGGAGCACTTAGTCCGCAGCACTACTCCAATGCGTGTTGGTAGACTTCACATGTCTTCTAATTCTAATTTTTTATCCTTTAGACATGCAAGTTTCTCGTAATGTTTTCCCTCACCGCCGGGCAGCCGAGCACAATCGGCACTTAAAACTGCTATTATCAATTTCATTCGAACTTCACGCGCGTTTCGAACATGGGTTAGACACGTACTGTGAAATTTACGGCTGCGCTTAACTCCTGTCCTACCACGGCTCTACGTATATTATTATGTACACTAGCTGGTCAGGCAGACGTTGTTATGCTCTTTCCGACGACCCTTCCTATAAAAAAAATCCTTGAATTCGCAATAAAAAAATATTGAAGGTCATTTATCGGGATAAAAAGTATCCTATCTCTCAAGTTGGACCAAACTGAACAGTGTGCAAAATTTAATTGAAATCAGTTCAATAGTTTAGGAGTTCATCGCGGACAAACAGTGTGACACGTAATTTTTATATATAAAGATATTATTATAATATGGAAATTATAATAAACAATATAAAATAAAACATCTTCTCTTGTATTATATATTGTATAACTAGGAAGAAAATTATACTTCGTTACCACTCGTTATAGTTACCACACTTTCTAACGATCCATTACTTATCAATGAATTACGTAACCATCATGAATAACCAAAACGGAACACAAACTATTAAAAAACAATTTAGTGATAAATTCAACGAAGAGGAACGAAACGCCGCGCCGTGAGATTGGTATTAATTAATGCAAAATTACGAAATCAGAACTTCCTTATGGTCACCTCAAGCAAAATATTTGTAAAAGGCTAACGAGATTAACGAGATAAAAAAATCTAGTTATACTTCTAGTTTCGATCCAATCCCTTAATGTAGAATCAGATTTGATCTGACAACGCTAATATAAAATACGGCAAGATTACATCAACTAAATAAAAATGCATTAAGCAAACTTTCATTTTCATAATTCTGTTGATTAGAAAGAAGCGCTCAAATGAATTTAATCTAGAATAACTTATTTTTATAGTCTGAAAATAATAGTCATCATATTGTATATCGCTTTTTACAGGATACCGATGCCGCCAGCGACCAATAAAATTATAAGCTAACATAAAAGTAAGTAGCTGGCCATCGCATCTGGCAATTAAATAATAAAAAATATAGTAGCTCATAAAAATAGGATCTGCGTCCTATATTTTTTTAATTAAAAATATTAAAAAAAGAAAAAGATTTACCGTAATAATTTATAAACACACCGTGCCGACTGAATCGTTAGTGTAGTGGTCGTAGGTGCGACAGCTGAACATGAGGTCGCGGATTCAAACTCCGGGTCAAACCAAAGTTAGTAACTGGGTTTTTCTGCCGAGAAGTTCTCAGTGGCAGCCCAGTCAGTAAGCTGGCGTTTTTTCTGCCCTATTACCACATTAAGCCGTTGGTCCTGAGCATGATTGCCGTCCCATCGGATAACGAGAGCAAGGGAATGGGGAGTGCATCTGTTGCTTGCTTGCGCACACACTCGAACATCCTACTATAACAAAACAGCTAGTTGCCATTGAGACTAGCTGCCATAATCGAAATTCGGTATGGAGTTACGGACAGTAATAATAATAGTTTTGTCTTTCGTAAGAGAATTTCGGTCACGACGGCCAGCCCAACAGAGACTAGCCATTTGGCAGGACAGGATTATAGTGCCCAAGTATACTCTTTATGCCCTGACTCTCATACCCCAGTCGCTGATATTTCGAACTCATCAGATGAGGTGGACTGCAAATTCGTTTATCATTATAAATGTATATAGGTAATATCCTTTTCTGTATAGGCGTTCGTCCAGGTAGGTACTACTACTTCCCCCCCGAACGGGTTTCCGCCTTGTCGTGGCGGGGGGGCTTAGTAGCCGTGGCTTGGTCACCCACGGTGAACAAAGAGGAACTCCTTGACTGGCCCGTGGTGTAGGGCCGGTCCGAAGTGGCCACTCCGAATGGGCTTGGCGAGCCCACTTCGGATGTGTGTCGGTGGGCTGCGGTGAGAGGGGTGTCCGCTCCCTCTACCGCTGTAGCCGAGGTGGAGTCGCGGAGGAAGAGGAGTGTTGGTATGGCGATGCGCCACTCGCCCTATCCTCCGCGACTCTGACGGGGCCGCACCGTTAATGATGCGGTGGTGGTGGGGCTGCAGGGGGAGAGGAGTGTCGGTATTGCGAGGCGCCGCCCTCCCTACTCTCCGCAGCCGAATCTTGGTTGGCGGCGGAGCCATAGACCAGATCCGCCGCTGGGGTCAGGAAGGCTGGTGCTTCTGAATGCTAGTTTTTCCTGGCCCCATGGTCTTCGCGCATCGGACACGGGGGCGTCCGTTGCGCATGTTAAATTGGAGGCCGAGAAGGAGGGCGCGCCATGTGTTCTGGTGCGCCTTACCTGAGAAGGAGGTGGGGGAGGAGTAGAGGGAGTCCTCTCCCGAGGAGAAGCCGCCGTGGGGTGGCCAGCGCAGGTAGGGCCGCGGATGTGTGCGAAAGCGTTCCCGAGGCCCTGCCAATATGCGACGAGGGTGGAACACCATGTACTACTACTATACTATAATACTCCAGTCTATAAAGGGTATAGAGAGCCAGTATACTTACAGGCCGAAAGTCATTTAATTTTAATTCTCAGTGGTGACAACGCATACGTAAGCTCTTTTTAAAGTTGGTTTCAGGTGTCAATGGGCTGCAGTAGCCACTTTATAAAAAAAATAAGTGTGAAACATATTTTTCAAGTGTGGACTCTATTTGCATTACAGTAAGATACTTTGTAGTAAATAACCGACATAGCCCAACGGATTAGTAAGCTGAGGTGGCAGTGGACCGGCCATATATATAGCTCGAAGAACCGACAACCGATGGGGAAGAAAGGTTCTCGAGTGGCAGCCTCGTACCGGTAGGCGAAGTGCAGGGCGACCCCCCACTAGATGGAGTGACGACCTGGTAAGACATGCAGGAAGTCGATGTATACAGGTGGCTCAGGACCGTGCTTTGTGGCATTCCTTAGGGGAGGCCTATGTGCAGTATTGGACTTATGAAAGTCTATAATGATGATGATGATGATGATGACTTTGTGTTCACGCATCACATTAATGTACCGGACTTTTTTACCGTGAAAAAAGGGCGTAATGGATGAACGAAGTAAAAGCCTTTTTATTTTTCCTAACAGCCTGTCCAGTTAACATTTAATAGGTTCACGATTCTTAACATTTCTTTAAACGGAGGCGCGTGACACAAGGGTAAGACTAGATCTGAAACCTAACAGCGATACACACGTGTGACATTCAGGACGGTGTCAAAGGTCTCTTCATTTTCTTTTAAATTATGTCGACATAATCATATATCATCAGTATCGTTTATGTTCAGATCGCATTTAGAGAGGGCACAATCTCACTTTTAACAAACTTGCTCTATAAGTATGGATTATGTATTATAATGCTTTGTGATATTTTCGATTAATGTGGTAAATAAGCCATGTTGTGAACTACATTATGTCTGCAGCACGAATGGGTCCGCTTGAACAAGGATGGACCACGCTGTCACAGAATAACAGTTTTTTTTTTAAATCAAAGTGACGCAGTGTACGTTATGGTAAGTGGATGGTGTGTCTATAGACACCTACTCATACATATAATCTTGATTAGGAATAAAAACGCTGATGCGTAGTCACTTAGGATTAAAATGGAATGCCTAGTTACCATTAAAAAGGGTCTGGTCGTATGGTGAGTTACTAGAACTGGATACCTCTTCATTGATAACGATGTATTAAATCTTAGTCCTAAGGAGTGACAATGCATATCTAAATTTTGACTCTAAATTAAAGATAGATGTAGGTGTATATTTGCCACAGCACCCGACGAGACTATGTGCTGGTTTGACAACTCATTTTTAAATGTTATTAGTTTATTTTTCTTCTTACATGTAAAAGTTTTAAGCCGATTAATGGAAATGCCTTGAATCGAAATTGCTAATCTTACGGAAAGAGCAACTCTTTAAACTTACCAAACTCTACGGGGCTTCCTGCTTCCTCCTCCGTTAAACCTGAAGAATTGATAAACACAAGAAGAAAGAAAATATTACGATGTACTTAAATGAATAGATTAATGAAATAATTAGATTGCTAATCCCGTTCCCAAAACCAATAATTTGTGTTGCAAGACATGGATTTCAAAAAAGGTATGTATGATGGCTACTGAACACGACTTACGACACTATTAAATCTCTCAAATGTTAAGACGTATTTAATGATAAGATTTTGATAATGATTGTGGGAAAAACGAGAAAACTTAAAAAAGTAAGTTAACGTTTAGATCGCATGTTTTCTTTGTTTTAAAGAGAAATCGAAAAGCGCTAAAAAGAAGATTTCGCAGTAGATTTTTTTTGAGCAGAAATACCTGCGGCATGTTGACGCTAATATCTACTAGTAACTGCCTACTTCTTTTACCAAGATCAAAAGGACCCATTATGTCGAAAATAGAGTAACTATCTTGTACACGGCGCAAATCAAATTAAAAAAAAGTTAAAGCTTACTTGCTATATGCTGGCGGCGAAAGAAAATCCGTCACGTCCATTGAATGAGTAATGTGTGTATGACTATGAGAATAACCAGAAAGATTACGTTGACTTCAATAGTGAC